CTTCTCCCTCCCTCCCCCTTACACAGAAAAAAAACATAACCATCGATGATTTATTTTTTTATGTTTTCCAAAACGACTAGGTTATTTTCTCCTTGAATGATTGATCCTTCCCCTTGCTCAAACCAGTAAGAGAGAGAGAGAGAAAGAGAGAGAGGTAGGAATAAGAACGATCTAATGTGATATAAAAATATCGCAATCTCGTATGAGTGAATAAAAGAAAAAAAAAGGGGGGAGGAGGGTGATGATGAATGTGTGAATGTACAAGAAAAGAAAAGAAAAAAGAAGTGGTATCCTTTTTTGTTCCGCTTCTTAAGGGGAAAGTGGGACAAACGAGGAAGCTCAATGGAACCGTCTCATTTCGAACCCATCAGTGCGTGACCTCACAGGCGGACTAAACGTGCGTTCTGAATCCGCAGTGCTGGGAGGTAGTGCTCCGGATACACCGGGTGTATCTATGCTACGTACAGGTCGCAAGTGGGTTTCCGAGAGGGACGCAGCGTCACGCACAGCGGCCGAAGAAACGAGACCGGATCGTGGATCAATTGTGTTGGTGCGAGGCGGGGTATCGTAATCGGCAGCTTCAGGGATACCAGCCATGGCGGCTTCCTCGTCGTTGCCGTGACGGTTGCGGGAGAAGAAGCGGTTGCGGTGGGTGCGCTCGCGCATAGTGGACGAGGCGTTTGTGCCTACGCGCTGGAGACTGGTGCTGCGGCCGCTTTCTTGGGAGCCGCGACCATTGCGGTCGAGGCTGTGGCCGGGGGACGTGACGCGAACGACGGTGGCGCGGGTGCGGGATTCCATTTCGCGGTCTTCGAGGACGTCGCCGCTAGGGTCGTCGAGGCCAATGGATTTCATGCCTAGGGAGAAGTCGACGCGGCGGCCCATTGCTGAGAGCGTTTCGGGGGCGGCTCGTGTGCCGGGTTGACGGAGGATGGAGGCGCGGCGGGTGGGACCTGTGCCTGCAGATGTAGGAGGAACGTTGTCGGTGGCGTTCTCTGGGGCAGGTGCTACAAAAGGCTGGTCCTGAGGCTCGTTGCGAATGTGGCCGTTGGGCTGATCGGGTGTGCCATTGATGCCAACACCAGGTGTAGCAGGGTTCTGCAAGTTTTGAAGATAGACAGGGAAAGACTCCTTTTGACCAGGGTAGCGCATGCGGGGGCCTTCGATTTCGCACTCTTGGATAGCCATGGTAAGCGCGCAGATGAACTTGTTGCGACGCTGCAACCTGAGCAATTCGTTTTGCCAGTTAGACTTGTAGAAGAAGACGACGTTGAGTTCGAGCCAGTGGACTTCCTGAACAGCGCGGAGCTCAGTGAGGATGTTGGTCTGGTATTCACGCTTCTCAGATGTGACGAATTCAAGGAGGACGTTACGTAGACGCTCAATCTGCTCCAGGGTGGTACCAAACTTGATGATAATAGGGATAGCTTCGGCGAGAGCTCCAGAACGACGGTGGTTCAGGATAAAGAGCGTGTTGAGGTAGCTGTTGGGTGCCTGAACAATGTGACCTTGCATCTTCTTAAACTCCGTGTAGAAGAGAGCGATTTCCTTGACAAAGTAATCGTCACCGCGACCGAGATCACCTGTGTTACCGTAGACAGTGACACGATCACCAACATCGTAAGGGTGCTTGACGAAGACGAAGACGCACGACTGCAGAAACTCCTGAGCGGTGGCGGAGAAGAGCCAGGACAAAGCGAGAAGAGCCGAACCAGCAGATGTGAGTACACCAGCAGCCGAAGTCGAAATGAGGGAGATGAAGACAATGATGGTGATGATGACCACAATGAAGACAAAGACATCGTCCAGCTTGGAGACGACGCTATCGAGATCCTTCAGAGAAGCAGTGATAGACTTGCGTTCACGGCCAATCTCCACACAGACAGCTTCGAGTTCTTCCATTGAAATATCGCCGTTCATATCCTTGTCGAACATGGAAAACGCAGCCGTAGCCTCCTCATCGCTGTCAAAGGCATTGTTGAGATCCTCGGAGTGTACAGTTTCAGTTTCGGGTCGTGCAAAGGTGCGGTACAAACGGCGGGCTAGTACTTGGGCGCCACTCGTGGTACTGATGAGCTGCAGTACAACCTGGTGAGGGTGGCCGCTATTTGTCACTTGGCGACCAGTGAAGTCTCCAGCAACTTTACCAGCAATGTCGCCAAACTTGCTGAAGCCAACCTTGATGTTCTTCTGAGCCTCAGTCAACACCTGGCCAGGAGTACGGGCGCCAGATTTCTGAGTTTCCTCGCTCTGCTCAAACTCTGAGTCTTCCATGGCGATCTTTTCCTTTGAAAACCTGTACAGCTTGGTAAGACTGCCAATTTGGAACTTGTTCAGTTCAATCCTGTCCTGATAGGTTCGGAGATGGAAGCTGATGGCAATGAGCTGGATAATGATCTTCTCGATGAAGTTGAGAACGAAGCCGACAAAGAAAGATACGAGCACCTTGTTCATGTCGCGTTCCCATTCTTTGGTAGTCTTGTTTCCATCGAGGTGGTGGTTGGTCATGGTTGGGAGAAAAGAGATTTCAATGGCCAGCCACCAGAAGAAGAGAGTGGCGGGCAGCTCAAGCTGCTTGCCCATGTCCCTCCATTTCTTGCTGTTGTTGGTGAAGAGACTAGATACAAGGCCAATTGGCCAGGGAAGTAGCTTAGCAAAGACCTGCAATAGATGTTAGCGTATGGGGATGTGGTGGATGCAGAATAAAGCTTACTCTACCAGCCCACAGTGTCAACCAGACAATCATAAGCCATATAGAGAACCAAACCAGCTTGACCCCACCCACAGTAGCCTCTTCGAAAGCAAAGGCTCCGAGGAGCAGAGGAATCAGAATCAGTAGTGCCATGGGCGTAATGTAGGTAAAGTAACGGACAAGCCATGACGAGTTGTGAACCTTTTTGAAGAACTTGGAGAAGCTGGTGTTGGGATTCTCTGGTGGCTTGTAGCGAGCAGCCTGCTCGTGCAATGGGTTTGTAGCCGCATCAAAGTCGTCAACAAGGTCGTCGCGGCGAGATCGCACCCGTGTCATGGACCGGTTCGTAGACTGATTTCGCATGAGGGCTTCTTTCTCGTCGAGGCCTTGCTCGATTGCAAGCACAGCGAGATCATCGTTGAGCCTGCTTGCTTGCTCACGGGTTTGTGTAGGCGATTGCACGCCCCTCATGGATGCCATGTCTGGTTCGGTGTCGACAGTCAGGTGTGCGCCAGACTGCGATCGGTTATGTAACGGCCGTGCGTTAGTATTCAGGTGCGGGTGGTGGTGGTCGTCCCCAAAAACTGTGCCGTCTTCGTCGGAAGACCGCTGGTGACCGTATTGTGTGTTGTTGTCCATGTTGTATGTTGGCTCAGGCCGCTCGACATTTGGGGTCGTCATGGCGAATAAGCACAATCGGGCCCGTAGCCGTCGTGGATGATGATCAGCGCGCGATAGGAGACCACGGTAGCCCTTGTTAAAAAGATCAGGGTAATATGGCAGCTCACGTCAGGCACTGAAACGAGCGTTTACTTTTTCTTTTCAGGGCCCAAGGGCAATCAATGGCTCGGAGTTGCTATTCGGCTGGCCCTAGGTGAAAGGGTGAACTAGTGAAGCCGAGTGGCGTGACGTCAGGAGCGTGTCTCGTTAGTGATTCTAGCGAGTGACTGAGGTGAATTGGGCGGCGTGCTGCAAGGATCAGTTGAGTGTGTGGGCGAGGGAGAAGAAATTCGAGAGAAGCAGGGTAGGACAACGGGTGGCAGCAGCGTATGTATGTATCGGTTGGGTGGAGCTCGCCCTGGGGTTAAAGGAGCAGGGCGAGGCAGCGCTGGGGCAGCGATTATTTTTGGGGACATAGCGATCTCTGCTTCGTTAGCATTCCAATGCCAACCTTGTGGTGGGCGAGAAAACTGGGTCGCAAAGGGTCGGCGGACGTGTGCGTGGCCATGGCAAAGTCGCCGGTGGGTCTCACGGTACCGTCTAGAATGTCTGTTGGGACGGGGTTCTGGGAATGAGAGGGTGTGCAAAGACAACAGTGCACCAACCAGACATGGGCCAAGGGCTCGATAGCCTTCGCCTCGGTGCACCAAGACGCCGCCATCCTGTGTCTTTTTGCAAATGCAGACACGGCATTCTTCTTCTTCTTTGACATCCGTCGTCGTCGTCCGCGCCGTTGGGGCCTGCGCGGCGCTCCCTCGTAGCGCCCGCCACCGACGTCACCCAGCATCTGTATGCAGGTCCTGCGCATTCACATTGCTTTATTAGTTGCTCTTTTTTGGTGTACAAAATTTCTTCGCCTTGATTTGATCTAGAGCAAAGCAGACACTCCGCGCGCAAGGGCTGATGACGTCCCCTGAGAAGCCAGCACAGCTCGTTTGCATGTCTAATCGGCGATTCCGCTTGACCCTTGGTTCCAAGGTAAATTCTCCGAGCTTTCTTCTTATCTTTGATTTCAGGGACGCACAGCTTATCGTGCGAACGAGTTTCAGACAAAAGGCCGCCAGCTTACACAAAAAGCTTGTTGCATGCCGATCCTAATCCCGCCCCCTGCATAGCCAAGGCTTCCTAGCGATCGCGTCGTGGGGTGCTCCTTCAAGATCGATGCCCCCGACTCCAGCAAAAGGATCGCATTCTCCAGTTTCGCGGACCCGCTGAAGTCTCTTCCTTCTCCATCTTTCTGACCCAGACACGTTCTGGCCATGGGCGACGGGGGTTCGCCTTCCCTGTGCTACCTGCACCCAACTTACTCATGGCTGTTGCCAATGCCAACACTACATTTCTCCCCTACACGTCGATCACCAAATTTACGGGCGAGTGGAACCCTCGACACCGCATCCGCCCATCTTTCAATGCTCAAGCCCGACGGGGCGACGTGTCCTCGCAGCACATATACTAAGCGATACGTCGTAGAGATCCGTAGCGGAGGCCGTATGCCCGTATCGTACAATCCACCGATTCCATGATTCCAATTGTGGGTCACATCCGCTGAATTGTGTCATACCCCGTATAACCCACAAGACAATCTTCGTCATTTTGAGCTACCCAACCCAATTCCGAGGGTCAAGATAAACTGGTGTAGTCCCTGATCCCGTGGCATGTATGCTGTTCCCGCATTATTGGTGTGGAGTTGTATACATGTATTGTTTTTCCTCTCGTATGGAGTAGGCGCGGAAACCGCACCCTCGTGATGACACCGCTTCCAATTCGACACCCAACTGTCGAGTGCATCATAGGGTCGAAAGAATACATCATACATGACACACCTTCTCTTTAGCTTCTCGCGCGGTCTCTGAGCCGTCTGGTCTGGAAGTATCTTGCCATTGGAATGATGTCTAGCACGACTTGGCACAAAGATGTCGTAAGTTGTGCAATGACGCCGACACGCTAAGGACTTGTGTCGCCTCTTTCGCACCCTATTCCAACTAAATCCCAGCTGGGAAACCTCATAGAACTTTATCTTCTCTGCGCCTTTGTGTGTACAGTTAAACATCCTGTGCATTGCACAGCACTGCGCGGTTCGCGGAAAGAGCAGGTCCCGGTATCCCGCAGTGGGCCTGGCGCCTTGGCGTCGATATCAGTACTCCGAGTAGAGTTTGAAAAGAGGGAAGGATTCACGAAATTCGTGATTCAAAGTTACGGCTGAAAACAATGCAGCGTCAATAAGACCCCCCCCCCCCCATCACATTGTGTTTAATTGTTCCTTCCATCACACTTCGTCACGTGCTAATTTTCAAGCTTGCTCGTGCAATCAAACCGCCAGAGAGCTTGCTTGATGGTCCCAACAACAGCCTTTCCATCACTCTTGAAGGTACTATCTCTCCGAAAGTCAATAAAGGGCGCTTGATATGATCTCCCATGCCTAAATTTAGGGTACCGCGAGTATACAACGCACAAGGATATTCCTAGTCCATGGCGATCCCAAGACTACCGCATTTGTTGATCGATTTGGCAGTGCTTCTGGTCATCTCAAGAGATTCACCATACGTAGCGTATCCCATGTACGCCATGCTTGATGGGAAACGGCAAGCACCCGGTAAAATAATTCCTTTAGCCCCCATAGCCGTTTTGAGGCTCTGTAGGCGACACGGGAACGCTAACCCCCATGTCGCCTGTAAGGGGCCAAGTCTTTTATTGGTCACACAGATACTACTAAAACCAACCTATGCTCTTAAACACCTGCCGCGAATAAGAATCCAAAGGTCCAATTTACATCGCTTAAATCCCCGCAACACAAAAAGACGGAACAGCGAGAGAAAGCCAAACTGCTCTCTGACCATCACATGTTTACTATACAATTTTTCTCCTTTCTTCCCTCTCTTTCAGTCTACTGCTTCTCCAGTTGGTTTGATTTCGCCTCGTCTTCAACCGTACCAAAGCCCCCCCAACCCTCGAATTCGTCAGCAAACTTGACTGCTGCGTTGAGCCAATGGCTCGGTGCATTGTCTGAGACACCCCACGTCTCTTCTGCTACCTTCAGAGCCCGCAGTGCTTCGTTTTGTCAGTCGAAGTACAATATGCATTGATGGTTGTCATGACTTGCCTTTTACATAATGCGCGTCTTTCGAATGAGAGCCATTTAGTGCTTTGTCCACAACATGTTTCCAGCTCTTCTGGCTACCTTCACCCGGAATAGCTTTGTCCATATCGATCTCTGGCCGGGTCTGAGCAATGTACACTGCAAGTGCAAATAGCCACCATTGTCGCAGTAGGCTCACATGGTACTTTGCTGGGATCAAAGGAAGCAAAATGCGAATGGCATGTGAACTTGTGAGCACATGCACAATGAAAAAGTCATACTTGCCACGAGAAGGAGCTGGTGTGCCCACCAAAAGCCCCATACCAACTTCCTGGGCGGCACGAAATTGTTCGGTTGGGTTAGTGATATCCCAAGCATTCCAGTATTCTAAGAATGCTTCCTCTTGCTCCTCCAACACCTTTGATATGTCTCCACTTCTATCGTCATACAGACCATCGAAGCGACTATCTTGGCGTACCTTGTCCAGTAGATCGATCAGGCCTGAGTAAGTACCAGTCGCGCTATAGGGGCTAGGCTTGGTGTATTTCGGGTCATCAATGTACTTGTGCAGGGAGTTGTAGCAGCAAGCGCCCATTGCCAGAGCCTCAATTGCCACCGTTTTGGCGTTTAGCTCATATGCATATCCAAGGTGGATAAGGGGATGTGCGACTACACGGTTTTAGGGAAATATTGTTAGTTGTGCGCGTTGGACTTACGTCCTGAGATCATGCTGTTGATCAATGGCTCCTTGCCCTGGAACAAGAACTCTTCGAGTACTTGCTCCACACTGTACTTTTTGGTCACGAGCTGGTCCTCGAAGAAATCGATAAAGGCACGTTGGTATCTGATCACAGAGTCAGCAGCTGACCCTCATTTCATAGCAGCACTGTGACAATTGGCAACGTACTCGGGTTTTCCCAAAAAGTCGCGCCAATCATCTTTGGTAATTTCGCCCGGCGCATCCTGCCAGGGCTCCAGTTCCTCAGCTTCCTTTTCGTAGATGTCGTTTAAATGCTCGGCAGTACCTCCGAGAAGGTAAGCTGATCCTAGGATCTACAGAAGATGCTTAGCAGCTACAGGCTTTGTTGGGCGAGCAGCATACGTGTGGTGTATGGTTGTGGAATATGAGGTCATGATATAGGATTCCGTAATTGGCGTGATTTGCCTTGAGCAGATGTTTGAGGGTCCTCGGTCGCTTCTCGGCGGCTGTTTCGATATCATGGATTTCCACTGAGGGCAGGTTGACGGTGAGATGCGAACTCTCTCCGCTGCGAAGGAAGGAGGGCAACGATATTCTCGGTAGGCTGAACATTTTGCGCGGTGGTGTCGGAAGATGCAAGAGGAGGTTTGCGGGGAAAGAGGGCAAGGATGAGCTCGCGTCGCGCCTTCCTTAATATGGTATGACGTGATGTGCTCAGTGCTGCTTGTGCTTGCAAGGTCTGCCGCCGTCGGTGTTAGTGTCGGACCACCAGCGCCGCATCCGAGAGCCTTGTCCTGTCTCCAACCCACGTCTAACCTTCAACGAGCTGCCTGTTCCATATTCCTACGCCTTGGCCGCCCCGTCATGCCATACGCCGCAAAGGGCGGTTTCAAGTTCATTACTCCATCGGGCAGGTTCCTGCATGTGTCGATCTCTGCGACCTTTTTCAGTGAAGGCTAGACTCCTGCAAACTCTAGGCCCGCACTTATTTCTCACGTGTTGCTCCGTCCTCACTCACAAACTCGGTCTTCTGTTCCGTCGTGTCTCTTTTTGCACATGCTTCATTAGGCAGGAAAGCCACAGTGTCGATTGCAGCAGCATTTTGGGGAAATACTAGCTTCATCCCGGGCCCCGATTTGCTAATACTTACGTGCCCTTTTTACTTCGCCAGATGCCCACAGTCATCAAAAGATCCAGATTCTACCTACCCAAGTATTCTCGTTGTCCCTGCAAAGTGGAATTTCACCTGACACTCCCACTGCGTCCCGAACTCTATCTGCTAAGGGTAGAATAACATATCGTAATATGGTCAGGTACCTGAGCATAGTCAGCCACTCATGGCCGCAGTCACCCGCCAATCGGCATTCGATTTCAAATTCTACCCCTTGTTTCTCACTGCATGCCACCCAATATCCCAACACGAGTACTCCACGCGAAGTAGCGAGCCTGTCCTCCGGATTGAATTGAATCAACTCTCACGCGTCAAATACTTGCAAAGCTACTTCCGACTGTCGAAAGCATCGTCGCATGTACGAAAAGGCAATGGCCGTGTAATGGCCCTATCAGCTGCCTGTATTTCTCAGGATATAACCGATAGCTCTACTATAAAATGTCAGGTCCGATGTCTGTGTTACAGCCGTCCGTTCGTGGCCAAGAATCCACCACAACTTCGACATTCGGCATTCTTTGTCAAAGATCGAATTCGGATATCATAAGAACATCTTCCAGATTGTTCTTTCAATCAACGATTCACAATGACAGGCCCATTTGAAAATGAATAGGTCGAATCGCTTGGCTAGAACATATACTGGTCGGAGTTCTTGTTGATCACTTTTACCGGTACACTTTTAAACACATACGAGAAAACTGTCTAATTTCATCTATCGGGCATTGTGGAAGATTGACATTACTGTGGATAAAAAGTGTCATTCTTCGCTGGCATAGTATCGGGTTCACGTTCATTGCGCATGTTCCACGACCATCGCGGATAAGAAGATACCGTACTTGCTGCGCATTTTACTGCTCTTGCCCTTGCTTCCGTGGACTGCTGGAAATGATGGCTTTGGATTGATTATCAATAAACATCTACTGAATAACCCTCCTTGCAAATGTTCAAGACTATGCGTCAAATTGTCGTATCAAAGGTAAATCGGACGCCCAAGATTATTTTAAATGCCGCTTGGTGGCGTTCTGCAGGCACGCTGGCATCAATTATTCCTGCGTATTTCAGTCATTGACAACCAACACCCGGTCACATTCGGGTCTGGGTAGGACGCACCTGCACACGGTTTCATAACTTTGCGCTTACTCGTCTAGCAGTTTTTTAGTATTACACAGTGTGCTGCAGTACCACTGCATCCCACTATGGACTCGAGAACCTCACGGCGGATGCGAACGACTGCGAGATTGGTTCGAATATAAAGCCAAGTGTGCCATCGCCCCACCAGCGCATCTGCAACACCAACTAACACTGTTGGGTGGCACAAGTCCCCAAATAATGCTTTTTTTCTAATTGAGTCAAGCGCCGTCCCTGCCTCAGGCCATTGATCAAGCGAGAATCTACTAGTCGACGTACATATCAGGCGAGCAGCCCTAGTACCAATCTCGTTCGTTACCAATGCAAGACAAGACCACGGATCCCATGCACCACGAGCCGCACCCTTGTGGGATGTGCGACCGCTGTCTTGCATTGCATGACGGCAGTACGGCAGACACACGCGCTCCCCTAGCTTGTTCTTAGCAGGTGGTCCAGAACAGGAAATTTAGTGGCTTGATGCGATTGGTGGGCTTAAGAAAGGTTACAAAGACTAAGGATCATGCAAGTATTTGAACTCAACAGCTCGGTTACGTGGTTATATGCACGAGCTGATCTTCATGTATGCGCTTTATTATTTTTATCCCTCGTTTTTATCCGGGATCATTTCTGCCATTTTATCTTTTCCCCGGTCCTTTGTGTCGCTATCTTACGCTGCGTTCATTTGTTAGAGTTTAATTCTTTTCTGTACGCGACAATCGCCATGTCACCTAAGAGCGGTGACATCGAGCTGGATGTTGTGTCAACTGGATCCACAGAGAAGCAAGATGATCTTGCTTTGGCGAGATTGGGTAAAAAAGCTGTATTGAAGGTATGTATGGAATTCCATCTTTCTCTCAAGAAAAGGCCAAACACTCAGCTAATTGGCGTTGTACAGCGCCGTTTTGGCTTCTTATCCATCCTAGGGTTTAGCTGTACAGTTCTGATCACATGGGAAGCGTCATTGGTGTGCGTTTATTCTTCCCTATG